GTACAATCAACAAAAATTATAATACTATATAAATAAGATGTACTGACAAAAGAGACATTAAGGCTCTATAAATAAGATGCACAGAATTGTACCAAAAAAAAAAAAAGACAAGTTGTAAGTCTAAACAGTCATTAAACACATAAGTAGTTAAATGAGGAATTCATCACACCAGGACTGATTCCTCCTGGTTAAAAGGCATATTTTCTGGAATGGTTTTACCTTTCCTAGTCCATTTTCTATTGCTAGTAACACATTGCAACAGACTGGGTGGTTTATAAAGAAAAGAAGTTTATTAGGGTTCACAGTTCTGGAGATGCAAGTTTGAGGGTCAATAACTGACAGTGGTCTTGCTGGCATAGTTACAGTGTGGACCAGGGGTCACATGGCAAGATGCAGGGAGCATGCACGTGTGTCTCTTCTGTTCTCACTCTCTTCCTGTAAAGCCATCAGAATTCAGTCATGAGGGCTGCACTCTAATGAGTTTATCTAATCCTAGTCATCTCTAGAAGCCCCCACCTCTAAATACCATGGTCAGTTTAAATTTCCACCCTTTTAATACCTCACAATGGGATTAAATTTCAACACTTGAAGCCTGGAGGGACACCGCAACCATACCACAGTACCTTCTTTGACTGAAATGCATTTGTGGGCTTCAGGCATGGCAAACCCATGTTCTATTTCCCTATGTAAGGGAGCTCTTCTCCCCAAAAAGGCAGATCTGCAGTGTTGGGCTCATTGATCCTTGTCATCTGCCCCCTCAGGTGACTTGAAAGAGCAGAGGAACAGTTCATGTTGGCCAAAAAGCAGCACCTTAGGAAGTAAGGGTTCTGTCTACAGGATGGGATGTGTAGCTGAGTTCTGTGGCTGAGTGGTTCCATCACATGGGAAGTTAAGATCACCTGACTGTCTTGACCTCCTTGTGTCCCACAGGCCAGATGGGGGTATTCCAATGTTTGGGTAGATTAATCCAACTTCAGAGAGGAAATTGGGTTGCTACTCCCCTGTGGGGACAGGGAGGGATGTGCATGGGAGTAGGGAATTACTGGTATATAGGATGGTATTCCACATCCTGCAGTGCAGGTCATTGAGAGATTTCAGCAGCCCAATAGAGACAAGATCTCAAAGGGCTCAGAAACTGCAGGTGTGAAGGTGTGGGTCATCCACCAGGGAAAGAACTTTGGCTAATGTCAGTATGCACTGAAGGAAGAGGGAAATGGAATGGGTGAGAGAAAAAGAGAGTGATAAATACAGCAGATTCTCACTATTCATAGTAGTTATGTTTTGTAGAATTTCTGTGAACATTGAATACTGAACATTGACCATAAATTCAAGGTTGAGTTCCTGTGAACTTTCTTTCATGACATTATTGTCAACTGATCTACAGGTAACCTTGTTCAAATTGTGCTCCTGTTTGAAGGCACTTTATTCAATATATCTTATCAGTTCATCAGTATTGAATAGCCAACAGCACTGTAACTCTAGCCTGAGAGAAGATTTAATCTAACACAAGCAGTTTTGGCACAAGGCACATCCAGGTCTTGCACCTTGCAAGGACTAGGCCTTGCTTCAGCATTTCACATTGGGGCCATTCTAAGAAACAAAATCAACAACTGAAAGCACAGAAGTATGAAAAATGTGGTGCTTAAACAACTGCAAAAAAGAACACTTGTTTGCTGTATGAGTTTAAATGAGAAGGTGGACCAGGAATGTACCACTCAGGTAACTCAAAATTATCACCACTCTGGGTGTCCATGAATCACCACAAAAGTGCCCCAGGAATTGATTTTGGGGTTGCAGATCAATTTTAGCAAGTAGAGGAATTTTTGAGTATGGATCCTCGAATAGTGGGAATTGACTACATTAGGTTTGGCCTGGTGACCAGTTTGGACTGGTGACCAGTCTGGTGGTGGCACTATGGCTGTGGGTCTTCTCATTTCCCTGGACCCTACAGTTTTGCTACGGCATGCATTAGCTGTGCTTATCCTACTGGCTTCACTGACTGGACTGGGGGTCAGGAGGAGCATTGGTGCCCTGAAGAAGGGAGAGGGGAGTGCGTCCATCCCTGGCCAGCAGGGATGAGGAAAGTGACTTCATCTGTGTGGTAGCTACCTCAGGTCATAAAAGTGAGTTACACACAGGTGAGGGAAGGATTGGCCTTAAGGAGTTAAGGGAGTCACTAGGCTGGTCCTGTTTATTGTCACTTTGGCCTCCTGCCTTTCTGATTTTGCTTTGTGTCCCCAAGGCCACCTTGCAGGGTACATTTCCTAAGCTCCCAGAGGCATTTGGCTCTGGCTGATCTCAGTTAAGAGGATGCACCTGGCAGGAGACCAGGAGAGATCAAGAAGCCTGAGTGAGCTGCCCTCCACTCTGTCTCAGGTGGCGCATGTGTGGCACCTCCCTGGTCCTGCCTTGTTGGCACTGGAGAGGCTGAAGTGACTCTGGTTTGGCCCCTTGCTCTGCCTCCCTTCCCTCTTACCCCTCCCATTGCCCTCTGCTGCTGTATCCCCTGGCTGGTTTCCAGATCCCTGAATGGCATTTTAGCTCTGCCATTGCCAGCTCTTTTACATACATAGCATGGGCCAGGCATAGTGGTGCACACCTGTAATCCCAGTACTCAGAAGGCTGAGGCAGAAAGATCGCTGTGAGTTTGAAGCCAACCTGGGTAACATAATGAGTTCAAGGCCAGCTTCAACTACATAGTGAGACCCTGTCTCAAAAAAAAAAAAAAAAAAGCATGGTTTCTGGTTTTCTGATCTGCCCCTGACTGATGGTAGGTGCTATAACTTGACTCTGCAATGGAGGAAATGTAGATGGGATCACATAGCTAATGAGCAACTCCAGGAAAGTCAAGCCCAGGCTGTAGGTTGCATCCCCCAATGACAGCCATCCTGCAGACCAGACTGCCTTCAGGGTCCGTAAAATCAAATCATTAGGGGTGTTCCTTGACACTAGAGCTCCAAATGTGTTGGTTTAGATACTTAGCATGATTTTAAAAAGTCAGATTGGGCTGGGTGTGGTGATCCACACTGATAATCCCAGTACTGGGAAGGCCGAGGCAGGAGGATCACCATGAGCTCAAGGCCATCCTAAACTACACAGTGAGACACCCCCTGCCCGGAAAAGCAAAGCAGGACCTGGTGGCACACGCCTGTAATCATAGCATTTGGGAGGCTGATGCAGGAGGATCACTGTAAATTTGAAGCCAACTTGGGCTACCTAGTGAGTTCAAGGCCAGCCTGAACTACATAGCAAGACCCTGTCTCAAAAAAAAGAAAAGTCAAATTTAGGAAGAGAATTGTCTTAGAACAATATTGTACACATATCCTCCTTTGCAAGTAAAGGCTTCTTTTGAATGAATATTTCTGGAAAAAATCATAAAGGACCATGAAATGAATATAGTTGTGAGATAGAATTACCCCCAAAGTTGAAATTTGGCTTTTGGACATTTTGTTTCACCCCAGGCTGTATGACTGGATGAAGACCAGTCATTCTCTCCATGCCCCTTTGCTTCCTCAGCTGCTGCATGTCCATGGCCGTTTGATCATCTGGTGGCTGTGGCCAGTCTCATTTCCGTTCCTCCCCTGTGGAACTCACAGTTCAGTTAACTTCTCCTTGCTGTGCTTTCTTTTGGTTGCTTCTTTTATCCCCTCCTCCCAAACCATATGGGAAAATGCCTCTCTTTCCCTTGATTGCCTTTTCTTTTTTGCAGTACCAGGGTATTTATACTGCGCTAGATCCCCAATGTTTTCTTCCTTCCTTCCTTCCTTCCTTCCTTCCCCCCCCCATTTTGATTTGGGGTCTCACTAAATTGCCTAGGCTGGTCTCAAATTTGGGTTCCTCCTGGCTCATCCTCCCCAGTAGTTGGGAATACAAGAATGCACCATCATGCCCAGTTCCTTGATTCTTTTGAGAGTTAAAATTATGACTGTGAGCAGTGCTGCTCCACATACACTAAGGCAGTGATGTGGGCAGAGAGGTAAAGTGAGACGAAATAAGAAAGGCACACTTGACTGTAAGCCAAGAGTCCTTGGCAAGACCCAAAGTTCTCTTCCAACTGGCTCACATCATCACATCATCACAGCACCGTCTTCTCCATTAGTGAAACCCTCAAAACCAGCATTCAAGATTTGCAAAAAATAAATAAAAATCAAAATTCTGTTTTATTTGGTCACTAATTTTGCAGCCATATTGAACCATCCCTCCAATTTCAACGAGGTAATATTACACTTACACATGAATCAGGAAACATTTGTTTGGTTCGCTCCCATGGTAACTAGCATAGTCTTATTTACTTCTGTAAGTGTATTTTGAGCTCAGAGCAAGGAATTTATGCTTTATGAATCTTTTATGTGTCACCTTTCAGTTTGTAAGGCTCTCAAATAATGTGTTTTTTGCTTGTCAAGAGTACTTTGTGATAAGACATAGAAACAATCTAGTTACCAGATGTAGAAAATTAAAATGCAGGGTGGGGGATTTAGCTCAGTGATTCCTCCACCTGCCTTGCAAGCGCCAGGTACCAAGTTCGATCCCCAGTACAAAAAAAAAAAAAAATTAAAATGGAGACTTTCCAGTCAAATTTGAATTGTAAGTAAATTAATATGCATATATTTTAGTGCAAATATACATCATATATGTCTAATATACAATATTTTAGAAACACTTACATAAAATATTATTTGTTATTTACCTGTCATTCAAATTAAACTGAATACCTTATTATGCTTTATCTCCAATCAAACAAAAACCAAACCAAATTGTTTGTTTTAAAAAATTATTGAACAGACCTTTCAGCAAGACAGCTAACAAGAACCACGAGACCTCTTTGAAATTTATCTTTTCTCTGCTTTTGCTCACTGTTTGGTGTATTTTTTTTTGGTACCGGGGATCGGACTCGGGTCCTTGCGCTTGGGCAACTCACTGTTTGGTTAAGACACTGGAGAACAACTTAATGGTCGAAAAGTATTGGCAAGTCAAATATTTATAATTGTATCACCTTTCAGGTAAGAGAAAAGAGTTACTAAATTAACAGACTGAAAGCAGAGGATCAAGAGTAAATTCAGAAGAAAAGAAAAGCTTCCTCTCTGTTGATCCGCGTGTGTGTGTGTGTGTGTGTGTGTATGTGTGCGCGTGCGCACCCGTGTGCATGCACGCGCATTTTAACTCTGGTCTGCAGGAGAGACAAAAAAGACATGCATCTTGTTTGTTGCTGCTGCTGGAACCCAGAGAGCTGACTCTGTGCTGTCTTTGGAACATTCACCCTCCTGAACTGCCGTGAAGCTGATTCTGATGGGGTTGGAGAAAGATAAGATTATAAAAGCATTGTCTTAAACTCAACTTTGGAAGTTCTCTCTCACTGCTTTCCCAATCTTTCATGTCATAAAGAGCTATTTCAAACTTTGTTTATCTGTCTTTTTGGCATCTGTGAAGCTCTGAAGTTGGGGTAACAGTATGTTTGATCACCTAGAGGGAAAGGTGAAAATGGACAAATTGTTAATAAATCTCCATATGAAAATATCAGAATGCAAGAGAAGACATTAACCAAGGTGAGCAGCAAGGTATTGAGGGCAGGTGAAGGGTAGAGGTGGTCTGAGGTAAGATCTGTGGAGTTTCAATAGATTTGGAGGGAGATACAGTGCTAGTTAGGGACCTTTAAGCAGTCCTTGTCCTTCAGGGTCCCCTGAGAAAGTGGGTTGCATCTGTAACCCTCACAGAGTTATGAGCAGGACCACACTCCACACTGCAACCTTTAAGAAAATCTGCTAAGGGAGCAGAGTGCAAAGAAGCAATCCTGGAATTCTGTATGTTTCAGGCAAGAGAAGGCACAGGGTCCAGCTTCTCCTTCTCAGACGCTTAGGCTTCTGTACTGGGGGAGCAGTAGTAAGGAGCACATGGTTGAAACCTGCGGTGAAGCCATGCTAGCGAGGTCATGCCTGAGTCAGGTTGTGCTCAAGGTTGGCTCTGGGGTCCCTAGTCCAAAGTCAGCCCCTAACAGGGCCTGTGACCTGCATCTACTCTGGAATGAAGTCAGTCTCCAGGTGTTCCCGGAGTTGTAGGATGTTAATACTTGGAGGTCTTCACTTCCCTGTGGGCCAACCTCCCTTAGTGCATAACTACTTTATGTAGACTCAGTTATTCTGACATCTGGCTCTATACCCTTTTGTGATCCTATGATGAGCTTCGAAGGGGCTCACAGTGGCATAGGGGTGGGACTGAGGTCCATTGGAGCCTCCAGCAAGGTGCTGATGGAGGAGGAGCAAATGCAGCACTTGTGTCCTGGTCTCAGAACCCACACCTTTGTAACCTCAGCAGATGACAGTGTCTACACTCAGGGCTATATCACCTGGCTCTGTTGCTCTCTCTTCCCAACTGTGTGACTTTGGACAACTCTTAGTTTCCTCTTTCAAATAATAGAGAAAGTAAAGGTATATCAATTAGTGTTCACTAGGGGAACAAATTTAATATAATAAAATATATGATTATACAGCATATAAAAGATTGACTTAGCAGGTGTACGATCGCAGCCTATGAAGTCAGAGATGGAAGAATGCAAAAATGGCCGTTTGTGTACTATAAAGCCAGAGGATCCAGTTGAAGGTCAAAGTCTTAAAGCTCAGTGGAGATTCCAGTGTGAGTCAAAAGGTCTGTGTTGCAAGGCTGAAAAGTCTGCACTGGAGGCCTGAACAAACTGGAGATGAACATCCGAAGGCAATGGGCAAGGCTGGAGTGCCTCCAAAGAAGCAAAAGTAAGACTTCCTTCTTTCCCTTTTTATTCAGTCCAGGCTACAAGACAATTGGTTGGTGGCATCCACATCCAGGGTGAGTCTTCCCTCCTCAGTTTGCAGTCTATACATCAGTCATCCACAGACACACCTGGAACTGTGCTCCACTAATCCACTAGGCATTCTTAATCCATTCAAACTGACATATCACAATTAATGATCACAGTCCACCCCTTGTGAACTTGACAACCATACACATCTTCTTAAACCATATTTAGTCTCCAGATACAATAGCAAGTTCATAGTTATACCTGACGTGATACAAGTCTCCAGCATACCAATGGAAATACACTAATTCCTTCCCCAGAATAGAAGCAAAGTTTTTCTTTGGGTGATGCTTACTTCTCTCCTTATAACTTAAATATTATATAGATTTAATAATATTTAAGAACTAATATTGTCTATCAACATTATGTTACAAAGAAAGAAACAGATAGTTGCTTAATACATAAGTATATGTGCATAAGCATATTAACAAAATAAGAAAGCAATACTCATGACAGAATCCTCATTTCTGTAACTGATCATGTGGTCATAGCTAGTATTTATAACTACCTCTTCTGCTACCCAGTGTACATTTCCTTGGCCTTCATCAAGCACCTCAGGTGGTCCTGGTTCTTTATCTGGAGGGGTGACCTGTGCCTTTATTCATGAAAGTTCTGGGACACTTGTCAACCTGCCTGGATTGAGTTGTTGTAGTTTCCCATTGACTTATATAACAGGGTATGGTAATGCTATGAGGTGCCCTAGGGATCTCCTGCACTCCAAATATATTCTTCTTTCCCTCTGTTGTGGAGTAATAGTCTAATTTCCCCTTGGTAGTTTGGATCAGTCATCCTCCCAAACACTGTAACTCCATTTTTAGCTTGTTTACTCAGAGGCATAAGGAACCCAAATGACCAGAGGGAAATCTTAGCTTCCAGTTCACTGGATGCATTGTTGTTCTTCTTGATACCAGCCCTCTACCCACCCCTAGAACTAAGACTTCTAGGCTAGCAGAGCATAAGGTTGTGAGAACAGGAAGTAAAACTTTTGCTAGTGGGTCAGTAAGAATAACGGTAAGTGGTACCACTTCCACTTCCACTTCTTGATTCCGGACCTGGCTTACAGAGAAACAGTACCATATAGTGGATGCTGATTCAAAGCATATATAGCCTTCTGGAGAACCTTGCCCCAGCCCTGTGTGGTATTGTCACTTAGCTGGCACTGTAATTGCATCTTTAAAAGGTCATCCCACCTTTCTTTCAATCCATCTGCTTCTGGATGGTGAGGACCATGGTAAGACCATGAGTATGAGCCCATTGCCTCACTTCTTTGACCATAAAATCTGTGTCTTGGTCAGAAGTATTGGTGCATAGAATATCATGATGGTTAATGAGGCATTCTCTAAGTCCACAAAAGATAGTTTTGGCAGGAGCATTATGTGCAGGAAATGCAAATCCATACCTGAAATAAGTGCCTATCCTAGTTAAGACAAAGTACTGTTTTTTCCATGAGGGAAGCAGTCAGATATAATCAACTTGTCACCAAACAAGGCTGATTGCATGATGTGTCATATCAGGTACTCAATATTGGTCTCTGCTGCTGTCATACTGGGCTTTCAGCAGTAATTATAGCCAGATTAGCCTTGATAAGTGGAAAGCCATGTTGCTAGCCTATGCATAGCTGCCATCCCTGCCACTGTGAACACTTTGTTCATGAGCCCATTAGGCAATGACAGGGTTGGCTGAAGGGAAATGTTGACTGCTATCCACTAAATGGTAATCCTATCCCCTTGATTATTAGCATCTTCTTCTCCAGAGGTCACCTTTTGGTAAGCATTTATGTGAGATACACATATCTTTATATCTTTCATCAGTATGGAGAGGTCTATCTACATACCTAATAAATGTCTCTGTCACCAATTTTTCAGTCATTTTCCTTCCAAGTCCCTGACCATCTGGTCAAACCGTTGGCTATAGCCCATGCATCAGTATATAGTCACACATCTGGCCATTTTTTGTCCAGGAAAAAAATGTATGACCAGGTAGACTGAACAAAGTTTGCCCATTGTGAAGACTTCCCTTCACTACTGTCCTTCAGGCATCTCTAGCTCATTCACAATGGGCCATTTTTTGATCCAGACTTCAACCAGGTAGCTAAATAAACTATTAATAATTTTTAACTCCACTAGCTCCAAAATTATACTCTAAATCTAGTTAATGGGTCCATATTGAAAAGCTCAGTTTGAGCCAGGTTTATGTTTCTTCCAACTTTATTCCACACTCTTTAAAATCCATTCCCATATTTGTTATTCAGACCTCTGCTTATAGGAATTTTTTAAAAACCCTTGAGAAGTTCTTCAGGAATATGGCAAACCTTTTCATGGGTCATGCTGTATATCTCACCTTTAGGAGCTTTCTGGGATTTGAGCCTGGCTATAGGCCTAGGGGCAAAAGTGGGTGTATGTTGAGATGTATCACCACCATTTGCTCAGTAACTGTACTAGGAATGGCATTACTTTCATAGGCAAAACAGGATTACTTTCCTCAAGTATACCGGGAAAGGCCAGCACTACGCGGGTTGGGGTTGGGGACGCCTCTGGCATGGAGGGTGGGGAAGTCTTTCTTCTGGGAAATAATCTCATCAAGATTCAGGAGCTCAGTGTCCCTGGCTTCATCCAGTTTCTCCCAAACATCTCCATCCTGATATACAAGATTCCATTCTTTTCTGAACAGCACCCTCTTTTCACTTCAGATACTCTTTGAGGCAGTGTTAAACTTACACTGTAATTCAGTCAATCAAATTACGAGGGCTTGTGCTTGGGTTTCTGCGACTTCAGCCCTGTGGCTAAAGGGGAGAAGATTCTTTTTTCAGGACACACTGAGAAACCTTTAGAGTCTTTATATGTGTTTGGGAATTTGAATCTTTGAACACCTTATTTTCCTTTATTAATTTGTCTTCACCCTTAGAAGACTTTAGATTGTTTATGTATGTCTGGAGCTCATAATTTTCCTTTACTAGTTTGTCAAGAGGTGCAAAGGGCATTATCCTTACATTTCCCATTCTTCCAAAAATATTAAAAAGAATTATATATAGAGTCACTAATTCCTTGCATTTCACAAGTGGTGAATTACAATAATCAAATGGCTCTTTGTTGTATATTACTTTAAACAGTTCATACCATGGATTATCAGTACTCTCCACATTATTAGAAAAAGAGACCATGGCAACTTTCGATCTTATTAAATTATCCAACTCCAGCAATCACTAAACTGATGAGAGAAATTCATCCTTACATTTCTATTTCTCTGTAACCACCACTGTCAATACCAAAATTTATTAGTTAGGGGTTCACTAGAGAAAGATTGAATATAAATATATCCTTTATGTATGATATACAAAATATAAATGTATCATTTATATATTATATATGTACATATATGCATATGATGATATAAAAGATTTACTAAGCAGTCTTACAATGGCAGCCTATGGAATCAGGAAGGGAAGAATGCAAAATAGCCATCTGCATACTGGAGAGGGAGGATCCAGTTGAAGGTGAATGGCCTGGAGCTCCCTGCAGAGTCCAGTGCAAGTCCACGTCAGAGACCAAAAGGTCTGCACTGAAAGGCTGAAGAATCTGCACTGCAAACCTATCGGTTGGTGCCACCCACATCCAGGGTCTTTATTTCTTCTTTGGATTTTTTTTTATCATTTTTCCCCATTAACTTTATTGGTACATTTTAGGTATAAAATATAGTTACATACATCATTGGGATCTTGTACCATTACATGAGTATCTTGGTTCTTATTTTTTTTCCCCTTCCCCTGCCCTCCCTTCACCCCCTCCACCCTTCCTTATTTGCAAAGACTTTGTTTCCATTTTTTTTCTTTTCTCAGATTTTTTCTTTTCCTTTCTTTCCTTTCCCCTACTCCTCCCACTTCGCCTACTCCTTTAGACCTTTTCTTCCTAATACACAATATCATTATACATTTTTTAAATTACAATGTCAAAATTTAGAGAACATTACCACAGCTTTTACAGAATTTAAAAGGATATAGAAATTATATTATAAAAATCCTTTTTGAAATAAACTTGACAACTTCTAAGAAGTACCGTGGAAGACAAATTAATGAAACTGATTCTGGGGGAAATATAAAATTTGAATAGCACCTATTAAAGAAAGTATATTCCTAGCTTGAAAACCTACCTATATGACAACAATAGGCTCAT